GCGAAACAATTAAGGAACACGGAGCCCCTCCCCAACGAAAAGGGTTCCTTCTTCAGGGCCCCGACTGTACCCGAAGACGCGGAAAACATCTCAGAAGGCGCGAGGGTTTCTGAGAAGTCCCGCCGCCTTCTGAGGAGGCCTGTTCCTTCTCATTCCCCCCCCTCCCTCGCCTCCAAGTGAAGACGTGGCCTCGCTTAGGCCCCCGTTATTGCATCAGGGATCATCGCTCTGGACGGTTCGGTTCGATGCATCTGCAGGAACAACATCTGGACGGTTCGGTTCCCTTCCCCCCGTCGCTCACCGCCGATGCGTGCTGCACGCGCCGTGGTGGCGTGCACACCTCCCGCACACGCACCCTCACAACCTGTTCGGGGGTGGACAGACCTCCGACCCTGACACGTCGATTAGTGAGCTGTCCGTTCTCGGCTCTCCAGAGGGCGCCGCGGCCGCCTTTTTCCAGGCTTGCGCCCGCCAGGTTTGGGCCCGAGGTCGTTTTCACTGAACCACGCTTTACTATAAAGGCGTGTCTGTCCGTCCGCGAAGCCTGGCTTCGACACCGGGCGACGACCGCCCCCCTCCGAGTCCTCGCGCCATATCAGCCGAGCCGTGGACACCATGCCGCTGTACCTCACGACCACCTCGCCCTCCGCGCCGGCCGCGACGCTCTGCGTCTGCAGGCGCGTCTTGACGACGTCCAGCGGCTGCGTCACCACGGCCGCGAACATGCCGCTCAGGCCCGTGGACACGAAGTGCATCGCCACGGGGACCCGGCTGTCGCTCTGGACGTCCCCGCGCTTCTCCAGGCCGAGGAGGACCTTCAGCGACTCGTTCGAGGCCACGAGCACGCCGTGGAACGGACACTCGGCGATGAGGGTGGTGGGGAGGCTGCGGTAGAAAGCCAGCGGCCCTTCGTGCCGCCACATGGACACCACGCAATCTGCTATCCCTGAGTACCTGACGACGACGACGACGATGACGGACGACGTCAGGATCACAGACAACCAGGACTTTGCCAGATCCAGCGGGAGAAAACGAATCATAGATAGTGCTTCGACCCATGGCTGCAAATTCCTCGGCGTGCCCGCCTTGCTTTCGGGGGGTTGGACAAACACCTTTCAGCACAACGCTCTTTAACGAAAGATGCCAGGAGCACTCCACGTGCGCACGGCACCGCATTCCGAATTGATCACAGCAGGGTCGCTGAACGACGTCCCAAACAATCGAACCTATCCAAAGAAACGCGCGTCGATTAGCGAATCCGACTGGGGACTGCACCAGCTCACTCGAATACTAATGTCGAGAGCGCTGGTGTAGATTTCCTGTCGACTTGTCTAAGAGAGGGCGTTCTGTCAGTGCCCGATGGTACATCCAAGTAAAACGAAGACAAGAGAGGGACAAACTCCGATCGGAATAAATTTGTAATATGTGAGATCAGGCGGCTGTGAAGGATGTATCGGGCGCCGCGGCCTTCGCAAAGCGTTCCAGAGCGCTCTGGAGCGATTTACCCCGATCCAGACATGTCTAACCATATCTCCGTTTATAGTGGCTTCCTAGGTGGGGTCCGATTGGATGTTGTCGAAGGATCGCGCCGCTTCGCTAATGCATTGCCGATGCATCGGCAATGCATCGGTGATACATCGGCGACGTCGGCGATGCATCGCCGCCAACCCAGCGTCGGCGATGTGGCGCGATTCTCCGACCCCATCTGCTGACCCGCTGCAGGCCATAAAGATCTGGCCCCAAGGCGAAAGGAACACAAAGGCCCTGGACGACGCCATGGTCAGCTAGGGCCTGAAGGTGGATGCTACCATTTTGAACGACAGACAAATTAGTCAGTCTCGCCTGGTACGGTGACGTGGTGTGCCATGCTTCCTATGCTACTTTCTGCCTTCACATCTTCTTTCCGTTTGTCAGAGCTTCAGTTTCGTCCTATGATCGACAGGTGCATTCATCGAGGACGTCCACCTGTCCAATGACAAGTACTTATCTGGGAGGCCTGGACTCCATGGTTAGGTCGGGCCTGTCCCCCTACAGGGGGATTTTCGACGAAAGATACATAAGATGTCCAGAAATAATGAAAAACAGTCCCCTGACTATTTTGTTGACTATTTTTGAATATTACCCCTGTAGAGGGACAGGCCCGACTCAAACCTGGACTCTATGGGGCCCTGGCGACGACCTCCCTCCCATGCCCGGTAGATTCCCCGACAGGGGCGCCGCCGGGAGAGGGCGGCGGAGAAGGGGGCCCAACGCCGACCCAAAAGGTCCGTTCCGACCTGGTCCGGCTCTCGACCAGATAACCTCCTTTCTGCTTCTCGAGTGTCATCGTGGACCGTTTGGCGTGGAACTCTTGCGGCTCGGGAAGGGCCCCGGAACACCCGAGCACGCAGCGCGACTCCAAGACACCTTTGCCTCAGGCCTTCGCGCTGCTATCCCCCTTTTGCGACTCTTATGAAGGGGCCCTGGGACACACAAATGCATACACACAAATAAAAGAATTCCCCATATTTTTCCATGTCTTCTGGGTTTCTGTCTTCCCCCCCACTTCCCATATTTCCTATATTTTCCTGGGGATCGACGATTCATTGTGTCTGTGTGTTTTTTCCCCTCCTGATCTTAACACGCGTGGGGGGGGATCCCCACGACGGGGATCAACTTGGCCTCGACGACGCACCGGGGTGTGTGGCGCCGTCGGCGCTTGTCCCCGACAGGGAGTCGATTCGGGGCTGTCGGCGGGGGGCGCCCCCCTGGCGCTTCGTATGGAACCTGGAGAGAAGACGTACAGGGCAATTTATTCAATACATAGGATTTCTAAGATATAGAAATTTTAATGCGTGATTAATGTATGAATAAACTAATGCATAAACTCATCCTTGTATGTATTAATCAACCCTTTATTTTAATACATGGTCCGCACGCGGAGCATGCATCAAAAACGGCACTGTACGGGCACAATCAGCAGGTTATACTGACGCGAAATGCGTTGGAAGGCTCTCTTTAGATACCCAACTGCTGCAAGCGTGCCTGTCTCAGTCGCAAACTTCGATCTATTCATTTACAGAACCTTTCGTCTGGCTTTCGGTCGGGGATCTCCTGACCCGGGTCAATCCAGACCCGGGTCAGTCAGGCCTGCAAGATCCTGCAAGATCCTGCACCCAAACCCGGGTCAACGCGAAGAATCCTGAAAGATCCTGCATGATCCTGCACCCAAGCCCGGGTCAGTGCACCCCTGGCTCTGCAGGATCCTGCAGGAGCTGGCGCCCTGGCTGACCCCCGTTTGCATCGACCCCCGTCTCAAGGCTCCCGATTCGGGCCAGAACTCGGGCCTCCGGCGGCCGTTCGGGACGAGGCGGGCACCCCCGGAACGCCTTCGGCGAGGCGCAGTTCGGACAGCGACCCCTTCCTCGAAGCCTGCCGAAGACATACAGACACAAGCGAAGCCCTTCCGAAAGCCTTGGAAGCGGGGCACCGGCCCAGCTGCAGGCGCTGCTTCACGACGTCGGTCGGGGTGATGATCATGTCGTGCACGATCGTTGCCAGGGCCCCGCAGGCGGCGGCCTGCACGGGCTGGTGCTCGGCCACTCGCGGGTCCATCAGGCGCACCTTCGCGGAACTATCGCGGAATAGTTTCTCAAAACCCGTGTGGTTACATGCACGTTTGATGTATGAGTATATATGTATGTATTTACATGTGGATCCATACATATACGTATGTGTATATATATATATATGTTTATGTACGTTTTACATATACATACACATGTGTATATGTAGATACATGTAAATTGTTATCCATATCTATATTCAGATGCATATCCATGACTATATATATTTACATATGTACATACACGGATAACGATTTCCTCTCCATCATCCCATCACAATGCCAGAGCCGAACGATGGTGAATGAGGATGGTGGTGATGATGATGGTACGGGTGGTGGCTGTGGTAAAGAAATATGATGATGACGCGCCTTCGCGAATTCGTACGTGCAGAACAGGCCCACGTGAGCCGGGATGCAGCCGACGCCGATTGCGAAGCAGCCCCGCATCAGCCCAGAAGCACCCTGCTCCCGCAGCACCACCCGCACCGTCTCCGCGACACCGGGAGCGCGGCCTCCAGGCTCCTCCGGGCCCCGTCGTGAAGCAGATCGCCACGCCATCACATGCAGCACAACAGCGCTTCCATTATCGCGGATGGCCTCTTCCTCCTTCTCACCTTCTCACTCCTCTCGACCCTCGTGGAAGACATGCTCGTTAGCGGCAAACAACAACGCAAACAGAAGCCGATAGAGGTCCGCGCGGATGTCAACGAGTCGCCCCCCTCCCGCAACCCAGGGGCGGAGCATCCAGCGCCGCCCCTGCCGCGCTCCGCGCGCGGGGTTGAGGCTTGTGGGTGGACCGTCGACTCGAGAAAGCTGCGCGGACCTACCAAAATTCGTGCTTATGTTGCGTGCTGGTCTTCTGCTCTTGGGTGGTTTCTTCTTCTTATTCCTCCTCCTCATTCGCTTGCCTCTCCGAGAGAAACATGCTCATGACACTGCGGTGTCGGTGCGCTCCTAGACATCCGGCTGTGTGGTTTTCCTATCTGCGGGCCCCATGGGAGGTCCTGACCCCCTCCTGGAGGACTTCCCAAGGATAGCTTTTCAACCCGTATTGTAAAAGTCTGAGTGCCTTTCTCTTCCCCGCTGGGCTCCACGGCGCAGCGGGTCTCGATGGTGTCCCCGGACCCCTGCCAACAGGGTCCATCCCTGCAGCTTCTTCACGCTGCGTCTAGACGTGGCGGCGAGAATCTCAGGAGACGCCCAAAAGCCTCCGAAACGACGATGCCACCGCCGTTGCCTTCTCGCCGACGCCGCCGTCTTCCCCGCCGGGCTCCACGGCGCAGGCCTGCATGCGGGTCTTGATAGTGTCGACGGGGTACATGGCCACGTGCTCCATGACGCCAGCGCAGCTCCCCGCTGCGGCGTGCTGCCAGAACGGGTTGGAACCGTCCCACTCCTCGCCGACGACGACCCAGGCCCTCTGGAGGCCGTCGACGCCATGGCTAGACGCCGCCCGAAACACGTGCCAGGATGGACCTTGGGAGTTCGGTGGCAACTCATGTGAGCCTCCCATACCATCTTGTCGGCTCTTGCGAATCGACGCCAAATCAACGCTAATCGACGCTAATCGACGCTAAATCGGCGCTATCTCATCGACTCCCGGACGCTAATCGACGCTAAAAACGGACTTACGAGGGTACACCAGGCTCCCATGCTCACCGCATGGGAGGGACCCGTCCTGGGGCCGATCTTGCTGGGGGTCTCGTGGAGGGGCACTGCAGGGCCCCTGGAGGACCCCTGCTGGCTCTCAGAGGGGCCCCGAAGTGCCCCTTCATGGCCCCGACGTCGTGACTGTTTGTTGCTTTTTCTGAAGGAGAAAATGGGAGCGGACCGCAAGATTCAAGAGCCACCGTCGAAACGCGAATGCCGGTTGCACTTGAAAGTCGTTCTCTTCCTCACTAAGTGTGTTGAAATGGACATAGGCCCCGACGTCGTGATTTCGGCGGTGGACAAACCTCCTTTTACTAAACCTCCCCTTGGTGAAAACGGCATGGGACCGACACCGACGGACCTGGACCCGCAAAAATGACGGCCGCGACGCCCTCCCGCGAACTGAAAACGGCCAATTCCTTAATCGACGTGTCAGGGCAGGAGGTCTGTGTCCACCTCCGAGGATTCTATCCGAACGTCGGCTCCCAGGGAGCGAGCGAGAGGATCGCCAGCCGCCGTGCTCGCGGTGGCGGCCGGCGGCCGGCGCGCGGAGGAAGGGGAGGGCCAGGGCTGGTTGAGGATGAGGACAATGAGGAGGAGGAGGAGGAGGAGGAGGAGGAGGAGGAGGAGGAAGAAGGGGAAGGGGGAGGATGCGGAGGAAGAGGAGGAGGGGGAAGGGGGAGGATGCGGAGGAGGAGGAAGTTCTCGAGCCGCTCTTGGACGGCCCCGGGGCCGGGCGAGGGCCCCGAGAGGCCGCACAGAGGTAAGCTCGCCATCGCTCGGGCGTTCCCTCCCCGAACACTTTTTGCGGATCTCGTGCGCATATATCTTTCGCTGACGGATCAGAGAGGCTCCTCGACGGTCCTCGCCGGGGAAAAAGGTGCACGCGTCCGAGCGGTGCCAAGAGTCTAGGCCTCCCAGATGGGGTCGGAGTAGACCGGGGTCCGAGGATCGCGCCGCATCGCCGATGCATCGGCGATGCGGCTCGATGTGGGGCCCAATTTTCTCCACGCCGACGTCGTCGTTGCATCGCTGACGTCGCCGATGCATCGCCGATACATCGCGGATGCATCGCCGATACCTCGGCGATGCATTGGCGATGCCGCGAGATCCTTCGGCCCCATCTACTCGGACCCCATTTAGGAGCCTCTCTAAAAAGAGGCAGCGGGAAACCTCCCGTCGTGATTCGTGCCTCCGCGCGAGGAGCTCTCTGGGCACTGTGGAGGCCCCGGGGATCACAGATGCTCCTCGATGGCCCTCGCCGAAAAAGAGAGAAATGCCCAAGAGGCAGCGGGAGACCTCCCGCCGTGATTGGTGTGTCCACCGCGCGAGGGGCGGCTCTCGGGGCACTGCGGAGGCCCCGGGGGGGCCTCGTCGCTCCGGGCGGCCCCGGGCGCCCTGCGCGCGACTCGCTCCCGTGGAAGGGGGCCCTGGGGCACGCAAGCAAATGCACACACTTGTTGTTGGTCTGCGGGTGGAGAGCGAGCCTCTTCGGGTCAAGAGCTAGGCGGAAACAAATAAGTACACACACACAAATGAACAGGATACCCCTGTATTTCCCTGTATGTTCTGGGCGTTGGTCTCCCCCCCCACTTCCCATCTGTCGGCCCCCGGCCCGCGGGGGGCCGCCGCAGGGGCCCCCCGGTGGCTCGGCTCGGGAGCGGCCAAGAGGGGGGTGTCCAAGAGGGGGGGGTGCAAATCATGACCTGCGGCATGTGCGCGGTCCGGCGGGGAGGCCAGAGGGGGGGGTGTCCAAGAGGGGGTGTCCAAGAGGGGGGGGTGTCAAAGAGGGGGGGGTGCAAATCATGACGGGCCCGCAGAGGCCCGGGCCCAGCGGGGAGGCCAGGGACGTACTGAAATAGGAAGAGGCGCCATGAAATCTGGGGAAAAAGCATGGCGCGCGCCATGAAAGCCACCCCCTCCTAGTCATCATCCGCCCCCGATCGGCCGCTGGGCGCTGAGGCTCCTCGCGTCCGGGGCCCGGCCGACGGGCCCGCAGAGGCCCAGGCCCTGGGCAGAGGCTCCGCGTTCGTTTTGTGTTGTTTTTCCTTGGCTTTCCTTGTTTGTTTTCGTTTTGTTTGTGCTTCGTTTTGTTCCCTACCTAGGCTCTGCCTAGAAGGGTTCTTACTCTCTAGCTTAAAGGGGCCGGGCAGTGGATATCGCCCCGGGCGGTTCCACCAGGATCCGCCCCGCGGTTCCGCCAGTTGCGTCCCCTTAGCTTAGCGTTGCTTATCTCATCTTAGCTTAGCTTATTCCATCTTAGTTTAGCTTAGCTTCATCTTAGCTCAGGTTTATGTTAGCTTAGCTTACCTTCATCTTAGCTTCGTCGAGCTTTAGAATAGCAGAGCACAGCATAGCAGAGCGTAGCACGGCATAGCGCAGCACAGCATATCATAGCAAAGCCCATCATAGCATAGCATTGCGCAGCATAGCATAGCATAGCATAGCATAGCATAGCGCAACTCAGCACAGCATAGCACCGCGCAGCATAGCATAGCATAGCATAGCAAAGCAGAGCATAGCACAGCAGCAAAGCAAAGGCAAAGCAACAGAAGCGACAGCAAAGCAAAGCACAAGCAACGCAAAGCAAAGCAAACTCAAAGCAAAGGAAAGGCAACAGAAAAACAATGTGCGGCAGATGCCGAGCTAGCCTCGATGGCCGGACCCGAGCCCCCGCAAGCAGTGCCTTCCGTAACCATTTCGGCTCAAGTCCAGAGGCTCAAGCCAAGCATAGCATACCATAGCCAAGCATAGCATAGCATAGCATAGCATAACGCAGCATAGCATAGCATAACATAACATAGCATAGCGCAGCTTAGCATAGCATAGCATAGCATAGCACAGCGCAACATGACATAGCATATCATAGCATATAATAGCATAGAATAGCATAGCGCAGCATAGCATATAATAGCATAACATAGCATGGCATAGCATAGCAACTAATGCTGCTTTCCTAGGGGCTCCAACTTCTAGGTAGGGTCGCACTGGGGTAATGTTCGTTTTCGTTTTCCTTGGCTGTTTGTCTTCAATTTTCGTTTGGTGTTCGTTTTCGGTTTGTTTTCGTTTAGTTTTCGTTTTCCTGGGCAGAGGCTCCCCCCAGGCTGAACCTAAACGGTTAGCGAGCAAGCTCGTGGAGAGCGCGCGGCGGCGGGGCCGCTAGGAAGCGCGTGGAGCAGAGATCGTGGCCCTCCTTTCCATGCTGTCTCTCTCTTTCTCTCTCTCTCTCTCTCCCCCTTTCTTCCGACCCGGATGATTCTCGGCAGGGCTGAGCCTAAACGGTGTTCTTCGCTTTCGTTTCGTCTTCGTGTTCCTTGGCTTTTGGTCTTCAGTCCGCCTTTGCCGCAAAACGAAGCCGAAACGAACACGGCCCACGAAATCGCAAAAATACCGTTCAGGTCCAGCCCTGCTCTCGGGGCTCCGTGGAGGTCCAGGAGGCGTTCCGTGCTGGAGCCTCTGGCCGTCATATGTTGGGCGCCCGAATTATCCGGGGTAACTCGGGTCCGGGGTAACGCGGGTTTGGATTCCCGAAAAGCGAAGCCGAGTTAGCCCTGACCCGAGTTACCCCTGATGATTTGGGGCTCTGGACGCCCGAGTTATCCGGGGTAACTCGGGCCCGGGGTAACTCGGGTTCGGAATCCCGAAAAGGGAACCCGAGTTGGCCCTGACCCGAGTTACCCCTGATGGTTCGGGGCTCTGACTATGTGCTCCCCACGTGGCGCACGGCAGAGCAGGGCCGAACGCCATGCGTGCCACCCTGCGGCAGAGGCTGCCAGCACTCGCAACTGGGCAGGAGAGGAGGGAACGATTCGACGGGGGAGGCGGAGGAGGTATGGTATGGTATGGTATGGGTTTGCGCTAAACGCGGGGTCAAGCCCCAATTCAGAAGGGCTCGGCGTCGGAGTCGCCCTCCTCAGGGCTGTCCGCGCTCCGCAGCAGGGCCGAGCGGCCGAGGTCACGGACCAGTTCGAGCTCCCCCTCCCACAGCCCAAACGCCCTCAGCACCTCGGCCCGCCCCCCATGGTCAGCCCGCCCCCATCCGCCACAGGCCCCGACGCTTAGGGCCGCGGGCTGTGGCTCTGGGGGCAGGCTCAGCTCGGCCTCGGCGAGGCTCGAGCGGGTCGCTGGCAGCACTCCATGCGGCTTCCCGACCTTCAGCGAGCGCACATTGGCGCGGTACGAGGGGAACTCTCCTTTCTTGATCCTCCGCAGCTGGTCTACGCCTCCAGCTTTGGCCTTCTCGGGGCACCACCCCCTTAGGCCTGGGGATAACTTGCCGTCCGAGGAAACGGTGCCACAGCGGCAACAGAAGACGACAGAAGAAACGTGGGCAGTGCGGCAGAGCACGTCAGCCTCCAGCAGGTTGTGGCCTTGCCACCAAAAACTGGCATCTGCATATTCTTCCCACCCGTCTCCCACCCCGTACGGCGACCCCACCTCCCCTCCACGGCCGCGCGCCTGGGGCTCAGGCTCGGGGTCTTCTGGGGTCTCAGGGTCCACCTCAGCAGCAGCGCCCCGAGACCTCCAGTACGCTTCCATCAAATCTTCGTGGTCCTGGCCATTGGACTCTACGTGCACCCAAGCCGCCCAACGGGCGGACTCTTGGGCTAAAAACACAAAGCCTTGCCACAACTGAAACTGCTCTTCGCCTACGCCGTGCTCCGCAGCACCGAGCTTCGCAAACCTGTCGGCGTGGGCGTTCCCTCTGTACTCCCACTCCGTGGTAACACCCGCATCTACCTGGGC